ACCACCTCAGACTCCTTCAGACGTCAGTCTGCTGTCTTTAATGTTTCAGTGCTGCAGTGATGAAACCTCCACCTCCATCAGCTTTACACAGGTGTGGTCAGGTGCAGCAGCTTCTCCCTGCTATTCGTGACGTAACTACGAGCTGGAATCAACTCAGAGCAGTCATCAGACTCTTCATACTGCTGCGTCATCATCATCATCTTCATACGAGACCATATACGTTCCTTCTTTTTGTTCTTGGACTCACCGCTCAAAATAATCCTTCTTTATCTGATCCTGGAGCCTCTGTCTGAAACAAGCTGCCTGAGCTGCTCTCCTTTTAACTTAACGTTTACACAAGCTCAAAGAGCAGGTGGGTGGGGCTTTATGACATCACAAAGATCCCAGAGGTGAAGAAAGTGTCACAAACAGTGTTTTAAACAGTCCGCAGCCTGAGCTCACAAACATCTGACAGGCCGGAGTGTCTGAAACTGCCAACATGTAGATTAAAAAATCTCAACAAGAGTACAATTAATAATGTTGGCATTTAATAATTCATTCAAGTGAGAGATAAACTGATTTGTTTCATTTTGTTTATATTTAATTTGAATTAATCCCCCATTCATTTTCTTTTTTTTAAATTTTCACCTGCATTACATCAGCTGTTAAATCAATAAATCAACAGCCAGTCTCACACTGCCTCGAACGACGCAGGAATACATGCGATAAAACATAAAAGGAAAATATAAAAACGATTAATTCTGAGGAAAATAAAAATAATAAAATGCAAAGAGATGATAAACAACGCGTCGCAAACACCTGCACCTAGTGTCAGTCTGGTGCAAGGACATGTTTAATGTCACTTTTGCTGTTTTAGGCCTCCATACAACAACATGTCCATGTTTGCTGGGTCAAAGATGAAGACGAGCAGAAATGTGAAAACACAGACCGAAGCAGACCGCCTGCATCCCTGTGAGCTGTGGCTGATAATCGTGACACGCTGCGGTCTGCAGGATGGAGTGCAGCTCTGCGTCGGGCTCACGGAAACAAATCTGTGCCCCGCTGCTGCGAAACCGTCCGCTTATCCTTCCCCGCTCAGGCCGACGGGATCCTAAATAAGTGATTGTGGGAAAACTGCTTTGTGCAGGCGGGATGGATGCACCGCCGGCCTTTCATCGCTCAGCGCACTCACAGACACACAAAGGAGCCACGTTTGAAACATTAGCCTACATTTTCCTCCAATTTGGGATTTAATTAGAGACGAAAGGACGGCGGAGGAGAAAGAGCCGGAGCGTCTGAACGAGCTGAAAAAGATGCAAAGTGAGGAAAATTACGGATAATTGAAGGATGGAGAGAAGCAGGAGAGGAGGAGGCTGGACGGTGAGGCAGAGAGAGTGGAGACGGCGGAGGTGGTGTCAGTTGGTCAGGGTGGGGGCTGGGGGTGACAGAGGGGTGGAGCCCAAACTGCTGCATGGAGAGGGAGGGTGGGGGAGTGAAGGAGGAAGGTGCAGCAGCAAAGAGGTCAGGAGGGGGAGGGGGAGGAGCGAGAGTCCTTTAAACTCTTTATCACTTCGTTTCTTATCCAGGCGGAGCTGAAAGGAGCAAAGTTTACTGACCAATCAGCTCGCAGCATTTAGGCTCACATCCAGCACCACTCTAACAGGGAGGGGAGGGGAGGGGAGGTGAGGGGAGGGGGATTGTTTGTTTATGTGTGTGAGGACCCTTCATGCGTGGAAACGAAGGACAACCTAATTCCTGATGCTGCCTCACAAATCCCCCTCAGCTGCCGGACCACCATCCCCTCACCCCACCATCCCCTCACCCCTCCATCCCCTCACCCCTTCATCCCCACACTGTGAGCGGGCTTCTTCCCCTCTCTGTTTGTCTCTGCTCTGTCCACACTGGCTGCACAGGGAGTGGTCCTCCCTCTCTCTATCTTCCCTTCCTTCATCCGTCTGTTGTGCCAATCCTGAGCACCGATTGGTGCACTGAAACTCCTCCCCCTCTCTGGATCCCTGTAAACACTGAGACTGCCGCTGTCTGTGGAGATGTTTGCTTTGAAAGACCCAAAGATTTAACGGCTGAGACTCGTGCGCGTGTACGGAAACAGTCCAGTGTTCCTGGTGGAGCGTTCAGTTTCAGATACATCAGTATTTGCTCCTTACAGCCAACAGCAGGAGGAGTCGTCCAACCACAGCTACAGACACATTCCCAGAAGCATTTTCTTCACTAAATACTCACATTTCCAAACGTTCCCACGGCATTTTAATCCGACTTGCACTGACGACAGGAAACTGGAATCCCCGGAGGAAACCAGGACAGGTTTTGAACCAGCAACCTTCTTATCGTTCTCGTGTCCGTCTCAAACACTCTAACATGCTTTTATTGTGACACTTAAAGCTCCTTCTTTTTGACTATTCAGAGAAGCTTTGCAAGACTCACAGCTCAAAATAATCCTTCTTTCCCTGATCCTGCAGCTGTCTGAAACAAGCTGCCTGTGCTCCTCCAGCTTATAGACAACTTTGTCATAACGAGCTTAACGAGCAGGCACACAGAGAACGGCCATGTTTCCGAGCTCGGCCGATCTTTCTGCGGACGAATAAAGTGTCTCTTATCTTATTTTGAAGGATGTAAAAGAGCCTATTTGACTGTATGTTCTGAAAATAAGGCAGCTGTGACTGAACTTTGACCTGGCAGCAGTACACCTGTGCCCTCTGCGGAGGTTAGAAGTCAGACAGGATGGGAAGAAGATGAGGAAGACGAAGGTCGAGCTATAGTCACTAAACGCCGCTGTGAAGCCTGCACCTTCAGGCTCAGCGGGGTTTGTTCCTCAAGGACAAACTCAAGGAC